TAAGAATACACTCTCCATTGGTATGAGGCCTTTTGGGAAGCCCAAAGCAAAGCCATGAGAGCTTATGCTCAAAGTGGACAATATCATACCATTGTGGAGAGTCGTGTTCGTCTAACATGGTATCAAAGCCATGCCCTAAACTTAGCCGTGTCAATAGATTGGCAAATCCTTAAATGTCGAACAAAGGACTCCAAAAGGAGTCAAGCCTCCTCGAAGGTACGAAGGCAGTCAAAAATGACTAAGACTCCAAAGGAGTCGAGCCTCGATAAAGGGGAGGCGTGCTTTGTTCGAGGGGAGGTGTTGGATGATGAAAGTCCCACATCGGTTAATTTAGGGAATGGTCATGGGTTTATAATCTAAGAATACACTCTCCATTGGTATGAGGCCTTTTGGGAAGACCAAAGCAAAGCCATGAGAGCTTATGCTCAAAGTGGACAATATCATACCATTGTGGAGAGTCGTGTTCGTCTAACAATACGTATCCATTATTAAATGATAAAGGATCTGAACCACTTGAACCAATCGGGTTAGGTTGAGTTAATTATTTAACAAAAATTGTTTGTGTCGAAAATTTTACCACTTGAACCATTAGGTTAAACTTAAAAAATATTTTAACTCGACCCAATCCAACTCACGAATACTCTTAATAACAAAACTTTAATTGAGTCACTGGCACTCATACCTACCAGATTCCAGAGGAAATAAATCTCTCGGTTAATTTATTAATTCAAAATTATATGTATTGAAATTAAGTTGCAAATTTCGAAAAATTTGAACAAACTTAAACGGATTATGATTGAGTTAAGTTGAGTTTATTATACTACGTGAACCATCAGATTAAGTTTAAAAAATGTCTCAACTCGACCTTATCCAACTCACAAACACGAGACGCTAATTGAGTGACTTGGCACCCATACCTACAAGATTCCAATGCATTGTGTTAATTTATTAATTTAATAAAATAAAATAAAATAATAAAAGGGTGTGTGATGATAAGAAAATGATGGAGGTGTGAGTGAATGAGTGAGTAAGTGAGTGAGTGAGGTGACCTGCAGTTACCGGTCAAGGGGACAGTGTGTGACCTGCAATAGCCAGTGGGCGGGGTCTCTCTGGATTCAGACATGGACACAGACACAGCATGCACAACAAGACAAATGGAGTAATTAAAAAGCACACTTCACACATGTCAGTCTTTAATGCCATTTTTTCATCATTACCTTATTATTATTTTTACCTTTTTATTATTTATTTTTTTATTTTTCATTAAAATAAAAATAAAATAAAATAAATCATAATTTGTTTGCTTTCTAAACTCCCCCTGTTCCTTCCTACCCGCACGCTCCGGGTGACTTTCATTTTCCCCTTTTTATATTTTCTTTTATTTAATATTTTAAAAATTAATTTTAAATTTTGTTTGCAAATTTATTAATTCGAAAATAGAATTACGAACTTAACCCTACCTATACCATTTTAGCCTTTATGTATCGTTGTCATCCTCACGAATTTAAAACGCATCTATTAAGGAGAGGTATCCAAACTCTTATTAGTGTCCTCGTTGAAACACTATCTGATGTTTGGCTCTGATACTATTTCTAACCACTCAAATTCATCACTAATATTGTTCACTTTCGTCCTACATGTCCCTGTCAAACGCGTATACTAGGGAGAGATTTTCGTATCCTTATGATAAATGTTTCGTTCTAAAAATCTAACAACCCGACAACTCGAGTCAACCCATCCAAACAACTCGAAATTTTAAATTAGTCTAAAAAAAATTAATTTATTTTAATAAAAATATTTAATCCCTCATTAATTTTATTGGTCTATATATGTCAAAAAAAAAAAAAATTATTAAATTTTTGTAATAATTTCACTATAGAAAAATAAATTGCTTCAAAATTAGAAGCAAATAAGAAGATATTTCAAAATTATTGAGGGTTGGTGGGCATAATTAGTGTTGGGGAGATAATAGACATTTCACATTAGATATGTTCATTATATGGTAGTTGTCACTCCCTTATATTTACTTTATCTACGAGTTTACGAGCTTAGCTTTGGTTTAATTATAGTGTCCTGAAGCTAACGTTTTTCGAGTAGTGTATTGTAAGCATCTTTGTGTTGAGCCGTTAAAGCAATAAATTAATTGGTAAACTAACCCTGCTGACGTTTTTTTAAACATTTTTTTGTTGTCGTAGACTGAGACGACTTACAAATTAGGGATGGAAGAATAGTAATGAGACCCGTGATGACTTCTGAATAAACTTCTTTGACTTTATCAATAATAAAAATTTTGACTTTTTGTTCGTGGGTCAAATCTCTTGTCAACACACCTATCACTTTTTCAATAATGAAGCTTTTTACTTTTGTATTCATTTGCCAAATCTTGCCAAAAACATGTTTGTCGGGACTGCAACCCATCAACCTACTAGCACTGGGAGAGAATCCATAGCATGTCATAACAAAAACTTGATTCAAGGTAGGACTATACACGGGTTAACCCAACTCAATTAAACCCTCTATTTTTCAGGTTGATAGGGTTATCGGGTTATTATTTTTCAAAAATTATTTAAAAAATCGATTAGGTTGAGTTGTAACTCTATTTCTTCGTTTTCCAAAAATTCAACTTAATTAAAAAAAACAAAATCAACCCAATTTTACGATTTGGGTACGACAATCTGAGTTGGTCGGGTTATCGGATCATATAAACACTCATGATTTGAAGCGTTATCAAATGACCCGGGAGTTCGATACCCTGCATGAATTTTTAAAAAATACATAAATGAAAGAAAAATCCAAAGATTCTTGGATTGTTTGGGTATTAATGTAATATTAATAGTATTAATAGTAAATAAATTAAAAGGGATTTGTTGTTCTTTTGCATGGATCAAGTAAACTGACAACGTTGGAAATAAGGTTTCCTCTTGGAATTTGATGAACTTCAAGATAGAGCTGTATTAAATTAATTAATTAATTAATTATTTTAATTAACAATTACTTAATTTTGAATCTTTAATTTTTAAATGTTTATTTTAAATTTTTTTAAATCAATTAAAAAATAATTATGGTCATTTAAACATTTTGTTTCAATCTTTTAAATCTAAAATTAAATTATAATTTTTACATTTAAAATTTTATAAAAAAAAATTAATTTTGTATTTTATAAATTTCTAAATTTTTAATTTTGTAATATGGGTATGTTATTTATGTAACGTCCCATGTCCAATATCATACTTAATGGACTGGATATTCTCTTATAACATGATCATGTTGCTTACTCATCGCTTCTAAAATGGAAAACTATTTACATAAACTAACCCGAGTACTTTCGACATGTTTAACTTTGAAATTTTTATAATTGAGTCATTAAATGAAAGAAAATATAATTATTTTTTAAAATTATTGGAAATAGAGGGGCATTTTGGGGAAGTGGGAAAGACGGCGATTGCGGAGGAGGAAAGGAGAGCCCGAGTAAGGAGGGCAAAAAATAAAAAAAAAAAAAAAAAAAAAATAAAATAAAAGGAAGGTGTGTGAGATAGTGGGGCCCAGAGAGATATTGGACGGCTGAGATCTCTGCACCCAATCGTACGCTGCAGAGACGCGCCCACGTGATTGCATTCAATGGTCGTGGGAATCGGTACGACCCCCTTAACGGTTGTGGTACTGTGGGCCCCACCCCATTCTTCTCTCTTCTCTCTCTGCTCCCTTCTTCCGTCTCCCGTGGGGACCACTTTTTTTTTTCATCGCCTAATAATTTAATAATAATGATTAATATTATGAATAATTTCAGAAATTAAATTATTATAAGGAGTAAAAAATATATTTCTTATTTTTTTAATTAGTAAATATTTAAAATATTATTTTGGTATCTATATATTAAAATTTAGTTCGGACTTTCAATATATTTAATTTAATTCTTATAATTTCAATTTTTATTCATTTTTAAATGTTTCTTTTGGTTTATATTAATTTAATTTATACATTTTAGAAAAATTAAAAAAAAAAATTCAATGATGCCTAAATGAATGATGCCTTTACAAAAAAAAAAAAAAAAAAAAAAAAAAAAAAAAAAAANTACACCATTAGGGTTAGAGCGTATATTTCATACTGTTACATTGTCGTGGACGACCAGTAGTTTTGAGAGGCTAAAATTCTTACAACAATTCAATTGAATAGTTTTCCTCTTCGAGAATCTAAATTTAAGGACCTATTTGGAAATCTCCAAATCTATGCTTATTAGTAACTCCCAGAAACATTTTTGTCGCTTACTGTGCCCTTCCTCGTCTTTGAGTGTCTGGGTATTCACGGTAAGTTCTTCTTTGTTTGAACCTTAATCTTATCAAGGTCCATAAATTAGAAAATGTAGTGCTATCATATAACTTCGTACTCGACTGATTCTATCATTTGAGGTCAATGATTGATAATAACTCTCGTTCGAACCGAGTTTACAACTTTTATTCAGATTCTTGTTTTAAAGTTATTATTATTATTGTTTAACGAATTTAAAAAAAAAGTTAATTTTGAAGGATTATGTTTAAGATTTACTAAGACTAAAATTTGATAATTAAAAATACATTAATGGTTGATAATTATTTTTAATCTAATTTATTTTAGCTTTCATTATAACGTGAAATGGTTGATAATTATTTTTAGACTTATTTGTTTAGTAATATAATTTTCAATTTAGATTTGGGCCTCGACATGTCCTTGAAGATTTGGGCCTACTCTAATGGACTTGGACCTATTCAATGCTGGCCCAAAATAGAACGACGTCGTTTCAAGAAGAGTATAAATTAATATTTATATTAAAATAATAAATTACGTGACTATCAAACTGGGCCTGTGATGTTTGGGCCGAGCTGATTAAAAAACTTTTTTCACTTGTGGGCCGTCTATGGGCCGAAGTCCTAAAGGAACTGTCCTTATAAACAACTAAAACGACGTCGTAGAAGCAAAGAGCAGACTAAGTGACGATGGTGTCTTATTGGTCTCGAAGCTCTTTAGCTAAAACCCCTAAAACCCCTAAAACCTCTGCAGCGAACTTGGACGTCGTCGACGAACTCACAGAGGCCCGTCCATTGCCCGTCCACGACATCCACCTCCGACAGGGTTCTCTGCAACAAACCATCTGTGCGACGGCGACGCGATTCTCGACGGTGGGGGGACAACAAGGGTATCCTTTAACGAATCTGAAATTGCTTTGGTTTATGAATAACGCTTCGTTTGACTTCAAATCTGAAAATTATGGTCTATGATTGATTTTGGGTAAGAATATCCCTCCAGTACAATCGTATGCCAATTCAAGAAATTTAAGAAATTTTTGTTCTCATATCTATGAACAACTAAATTTCTTGAAAGTCTTGAAAGTTCTGTTTTCATGTTAGTCTTTGGAATTTTTTTCTTTTAAGATATTCAAGGTTTGATAGTTTTAATTTGCAAGTTTTGGTTGAGTGGAAGCTTTGTTCATTGACATTTGGTTTTGAAAGCATCATTTGTAACGAAATTTTTAGCTGAAGGTTTTATGAAAGATTGCGTTGCTTTAAAAGTGTTGTAAATGGGTGTATTTTCTTGTTTACAATTTTTTTTTTGAAAGAAAATGAATGTGAGATCCCATATCCATTGGGGAGGAGAAGGAAACCCCCTTTATAAGGGTGTGGAAACCTCTCCCTATTAGATCCGTTTTAAAAATTTTGAGAGGAAGCCCGAAAGGGAAAGCCCGAAGTGGACAATATTTTCAAGCGGTGGGTTTGAACCCTTACAAATGGTATTAGAGCCAGACACCGGGCGATGTGTGAGCGAAGAGGCTGAGCCCCGAATGGGGTGGATTTGGTGAGGGTCTCACATCAATTGGAGAACAGAATGAGTGCCAGTGAGGACAATGGGCCCCATAGGGGGGTGGATTGTGAGATCTCACGTCGGTTGGGAAGGAGAAGGAAACACCCTTTATAAGGATGTGGAAACCTCTCCTTAGTGGACGCGTTTTAAAAACCTTGAGAGGAAGCCCGAAAGGAAAAACTCAAAGAGGACAACATTTGCTAGCGGTGGGCTTGAGCTATTATAATGAATTTCAAAATTTGATATGGGAATGGCTTATTGAGTATTTTTATATTCATTTTTGCTTTTCCAAAATGTTTTCAGATGGAGGTTCTGAAAGAAGTGAAGTTGAGCATTCTGGCACAAGACATTGAAAGATGTTAAAAACTTGTTAGTCTATCTCAATAATCGTTTGTAAGAAATTTCTTCTACTGAATTGTGTAAGTTGTTATGTTTTCACATTATTGTCATCATAGTCCTATTGGAAAATATGGGCTGTTACACTTGGGCACCAAGAAGAAGGTGCTTATGTTTACAATATATTTTCAAACTTCAAACTCTTTCACCAAGTGCTTCGTTCCGTTGCATCCACAACCTTGTGTATGATTCGTCGAATTTCGTCTCCAATCAGCGTCTGAGTGAGTTATCTAAAGATGGCCGAGTTGATGAAGCGCGTAAGTTGTTTGATCACATGTCTTACCGGGACACGTACACATGGAATATTATGATTTCAGCTTATGCCAATTCAAGAAACATGGTCGAAGCTCGCAAGCTTTTCGACGAAACTCCAACTAAAAATTCTATCACTTGGTCTTCCTTGGTATCTGGATATTGCAAAAATGGGTGTGAAGTTGAAGGCTTGAGGCTGTTCAGCCAAATGTGGAGTGAGGGACAGAAGCCAAGTCAATACACATTGGGCAGTGTTTTACGAGCATGTTCGACTTTGGGTTTGCTCCATAGTGGCAAAATGATTCATGGCTATGTAATAAAAATACAATTAGAAGCAAATATCTTCGTTGCTACCGGTCTCGTCGACATGTATTCCAAGTGTAAGTGTCTCCTGGAGGCTGAATACCTCTTTGTATCATTGTCTGATAGGAAAAACTATGTTCTATCGACCGCTATGCTCACCGGTTATGCTCAAAATGGTGAGAGTTTGAAGGCAATGCAGTGTTTTAAGGAGATGCGAATACAGGGAATGGAGTCTAACCATTTCACATTTCCCAGCATATTGACAGCATGTACAGCAATTTCAGCTTATTCTTTTGGTCAGCAGGTACATGGATGTATTATTTTGAGTGGTTTTGGCGCTAATGTTTATGTTCAAAGTGCATTAGTTGATATGTATGCGAAATGTGGTGACTTGAATAGTGCGAGGATGCTATTAAATATCATGGAAATCGATGATGTTGTATGCTGGAACTCGATGATTGTCGGGTGTGTGACACACGGACATATGGAGGAAGCTCTAGTTTTGTTTCATAAGATGCATAATCGGGATATTGTAATCGATGATTTCACGTATCCGTCTGTTTTGAAATCTCTGGGTACTTGCAGGGACCTGAAAAATGGAGAATCTGTTCATTCTCTGATAATGAAAACTGGTTTTGATGCCTGCAAAACAGTGAGCAATGCGCTTGTTGATATGTATGCTAAACAGGGAAACTTGAATTGTGCTTTAGAGGTTTTCAATAAGATATCAGATAAAGATGTCATATCTTGGACCTCCTTGGTCACGGGATATGTTCATAATGGCTTCCATGAAAAGGCGCTCAAGTTATTCTGTGATATGAGAATTGCAGGTGTTGATCTAGACCAATTTGTAATTGCCTGTGTCTTTAGTGCTTGTGCTGAACTAACAATTATCGAGTTTGGTCGACAGGTTCATGGAAACTTCATCAAATCAAGTGTTGGCTCACTGTTATCTGCAGAGAACTCTCTCATAACAATGTATGCCAAATGTGGATGCTTAGAAGATGCAACTCGAGTCTTTGACTCGATGGAAACTCGAAATGTCATATCATGGACTGCCATAATCGTTGGTTATGCACAGAATGGGAGAGGGAAGGACTCGCTTCATTTTTACGACCGGATGATAATCGATGGCGTAAAGCCTGACCCTGTTACTTTCATTGGTTTGTTGTTTGCTTGCAGCCATGCAGGTCTTGTGGAAACTGGTCGATCTTACTTCGAATCAATGGAAAAAGTTTATGGAATAAAGCCGGGTTCTGATCATTATGCTTGCATGATTGACCTACTTGGACGTGCTGGAAAGCTTAATGAGGCAGAAGAGTTATTGAATCGAATGGACGTTGAGCCCGACGCAACCGTATGGAAGTCGTTACTTTCGGCATGTCGGGTTCATGGGAACTTAGAACTTGGAGAAAGGGCGGGAAAAAACCTCATTAAGTTGGAGCCTTTGAATTCTCTGCCATATGTTTTATTGTCCAATATGTTCTCTGTTGCTGGTAGATGGGAAGATGCAACACATATACGTAATTCAATGAAAAGAATGGGTATTAACAAGGAGCCTGGATATAGTTGGATTGAAATGAAGAGCCAAGTGCATTCATTTATATCAGAAGATAGAAGTCACCCTATGGCTGCTGAAATATATTCTAAGATTGATGAAATGATGATCTTAATAAAGGAAGCTGGGTATGTTCCAGATATGAACTTCGCGTTACGTGACATGGACGAAGAGGCTAAGGAACGTAGTTTAACATATCATAGCGAAAAGTTGGCCGTTGCGTTTGGACTTCTCGCAGTCCCGAACAGAGCACCGATTCGAATTTTCAAAAATCTTAGGGTATGTGGGGACTGTCACTCCGCCATGAAATATATATCTAGTGTTTTTAAGCGGCATGTTATTTTGAGAGACTTGAATTGTTTCCATCACTTCAAAGAGGGAAAATGTTCTTGTGGAGACTTCTGGTAAGGGAGGTGTTTCACCACTTTTTAAGGAGGATCGGAAACCTGCTAAGGCACCGTAGAATCCCCTAAAGGCGTAATTGACAGGTTCTGTTCTATCTGTCCATCCGAGTCATCCCGTGTCGTTGTTGACCCACCTTGGAGAATGAAACTTAAATATATATCTAGCGTTTTTAAGAGACATTCTTTTGAGAGACTTAAATTGTTTCCATCACTTCAAAGAGGGAAAGTGTTCTTGTGGAGACTTTGGTAAGGGAGGTGTATCGGAAGCCAGCTAAAACACCGTAGCGTCCCCCAAAGATGTAACTGACAGGTTCTGTTCTATCTGCCCATCCGAGTGATCCCGTGTCTTTGTTGACCTACCTTGGAGAATGAAACTACTATTTCTTGATGATACCTGAGTTTTCCTATTAGCACAACTCAAGCAAGCTAAGAATGGTGGTAGTCATTTCCTGAACCTGATAAGAAGTAACTCCTAAATCCTTCACTTTGAAGCTTAATCCTACCATCTCTTTGTCCAACTACTCCGTTCAGGCGAAACTGCGGTGGTCGTTCAGACAGGATTCTTCACTAGGCTTGGCTGGCTCCTCCAGGAGAAGTCAAAAAGTGATGTCGTGAGTATCTTCTTAGGCTTCTCGAACGCTTGAGACAACCTTGCTATTATCGACGAGCTTCTTCTGTACCCGAACCTTGTGGAAATTGATAAGAGTTCTCAACGAACTCAAAGAGGTCCATCTTCTATTCCTTTACTGTATTCTTCTTTGTTCATGGATTCTTAGATTATTTGAAAAACTTGTCAAAACTAATACATATATTGGCAGTTCATTTGATTCTGGAGTCTTTTGAAAAATCATTCATAAGCTGAATGAAAAAGTATAATTAATCTTAGTGTTGAAAACTTTATAGGCATTGTTGATGTGTGATTTCGGGTTACGGATCACTATTAAGGTCGTGATGAGCTTCCATGATGACATATTGGCAGGGAAGCTTTAATCGGGTCGTGAGATAAAGGTAAATCTGTTCGCAAATTGTTTCACTGCTCTGCTTTGTTTTGGCATTCCTTGAGCATTTTTGAGCATTTTTATATATGCGTCAAAACCTTGGGTAGATGCATTTTAAAATTTTCAAGAAAAACTTAAAAGAGGACAATATTTGGGTGGACTTGAGCTGTTACAGGTACGGGTTGAGAGACTCATTTTGTATTACGGAATATGATAACCTTAACTATATTTCGTCTTTCTTTTTTGTAATTTTGAAATCTCTTTCTTTGTTTCTTATGTTTCGAGAATAGGAGATGTGATCTCTACATCGGTTAAGGAGGAGAACCAAACATTTTATATAAGGGTGTAGAAACCTCCTATTCCTAGCAGCCCCATTTAAAAATTGTGAATCTGACGACAATACGGTCAAAGCGAACAATATCGGCTATTAGTGGGCTTAGGCTGTTACAAATGGTATAAGAGTTAGATATTGGGTGATGTGCCCACAAGGAGGTTAAACTTTGAAGGGGGTGGATTGGGTGTCCACATCGATTGGAGAAGGGAATGAGTGTCAGCTACAACACTAGACCCTGAAGGGAGTGGATTGTGAGATCCCACAAAGCATTCTTTATGAGGGTGTGAAACTTATCCCTAGTAGATAGCGTTTTAAAAACTTTGAAAAGTTCATTTGTCATCTGATTTGTGCTATTTAGAATTGTCATTTTGAACTCTATAAATCGAAGATTTGCTATCGTCACAATATATGGTTTGATATGAGTTTGATGATGAATTACCTAATGAAAATATTTTCAAATGTAAATTTGTATACTATCGAAAATAGAAATGCCCATTTAACTTCCGTGGTAGAGACCTTATAGAGGCTCACCCTAGATAGTGTGACAAATTTCCGTTTGAACGGAAAGCGTGGACTAAATAGGGTTGGTGGACGGGGACAGGGATTATGTTCTCCACCGTCGTATTTTTTAAACAATCAACCACGTTATGAAGTAAATTAGCGTAAAATTTCAATTTGGTAGATTAATGGGTAATTATATTGATATTTTTGTAAGATAATTATTTAATGAATGAATGAGTTATTTTTAAATTAAAAAATAATTTTGGATAAATTGATGATTGATTTACCAAAACGGTTGGTATTTTCTTATCATTTCTTTTACTCTAAACCAGCCTTAAATAAGGTATTCATCTATAGTATAGGACAATTATACAAACCTTTTTACAAATATACCCCTAATAATGCTCGAGTATAGCGTTTTTGCATATTCTATCAACGACCCACAAAGAAGGTTGTCGAAGGTGTCCTAAGAGGAATCATACCGTTCTTTCTATGTGCCATGACCAGAATGAAAACCGAGGGAGTCGTCAAAAAAGGATAACTTCACAGAAGGGAAGGGTAATATGATTCTAGTTAGAGCCTAGGGGTGCCGTTAGGTTAAGTTCATTTGAGATATTGTTTAGATCCAACCCAATTGTTATTAAACAATGAACCCAACCTAACTACAAATTTTTTGGGTTAGTTAGTTCGGATAGTTTATTCAAATTTTTGTTTTTAATAAATGTAAAATGTTAATTCGTAATTTATTTATTTTTAAATATTTAATTAAGATTTATTATACATGTATGTTAAAAAATTATCTTACACATAGTTAAAAATTATTTTTAGGAGTGATTGGAGAATAAATAATAAAAATAATTACAAAATTAAATAAGTATGCATATATATAATCTTATTGGTAGTAAAAATGTACTTTTTAAAATTAATAATAAATTTAGATTGGTCCCTTCAATCTAATCTAATTTTAGAGAACTAGAATTCATAAACCAACTCAACTCATAAAATTTTTATTTATTTGAATCCAACGTACCGGATGGATTTAGGGTTTGGGTTGATAGAGCTTTTCAGGTTATTGAGTTTTTTTGAACACACATAATTCTAGCTAACTCGTGATTAAGGGTTGGATTGAAGTTTTGGTTGATCGAGTTTTTTGAATACGTTTAATTCTAGTTGATCCGGGTAATGACCCAAGCCCACCGCTAGCAGATATTGTTCTCTTTGGGCTTTCTCTTTCGGGCTTCCCCTCAAGGCTTTAAAACGTGTCTTCTAAGGAAAAGTTTTCACTCCCTTATAAAGGTTGATGATATCACAATCCACTCTCTTTAGGGCCCAGCGTCCTTACTGGCACATTGCCTCATGTCTACCATCTTCAGGGAACAACCTCCTCGCTGACACATAGTTTGGTGTCTGGCTCTAATGCCATTTGTAACGGCGCAGACCCACCATTAGTAGATATTGTTCTCTTTAGGATTTCCCTTTCGAGCTTTACTTCAAAGCTTTAAAACACGTCTTTTAAGGAAAGGTTGTCACACTGTTATAAATGGTGTTTTGTTTTCCTCCCTAACCAACGTGGGATATCACACGAACTAAAAAAATAAAATATATTTATAGATTTGTAAATTCAAAACCAAGAATTATGGCGTTAAAAGGGATGAAAAAACAAAGATGCCCAAGAAGTATGTTGAAATAAGTGCACAATTTTCAATACAAATCAAAGCGTGTGAGAGACTTCCACTTCTTTTTACCAAATTTAGTTGTAATGTTTCCTATCAAACAATAATAATTCCCTTCCTTTTCTCACCAACCAACCAATCAAAACACTTCCCAACGTAGCTCCCATCTTACTCTAAATTCCTTCTTTTTTTCTATTTCATCTCCCTAATCTATTCTCAATTCTCTTCATTGCTCAAGGATTCAAGAACTCATGGCGGATTCGTTACGATATCTGATCGTCTCGGTTGTTCTATCGATTACCATGTTATTCATTCATACCTCGGCTTCAAGTTCGTCTCTCTCGAGGCGAGCTCTACGTCAACCTAAGTTGCCTAGTGATGGCTTTCGAGTGAGTCTTAACCATGTGGATCATGTCAAGAATTTGACGAGATTCGAGCGGTTGCAACGAGGAGTGGCGCGTGGGAAGACTAGATTGCATAGACTAAACGCCATGATGTTGGCTGCCAACATCGGTGTTGGTGGTCGAGTGCAGGCGCCGGTGGTGGCGGGTAATGGTGAGTTTCTTATGAAGTTGGCTATCGGATCTCCACCGAGAAGCTTCTCGGCGATCATGGACACGGGGAGTGACCTAATTTGGACACAGTGTAAGCCTTGTCAACAGTGTTTTGATCAAGCTACGCCTATTTTTGATCCGAAAGAATCTTCTTCTTTCTCTAAGATTTCTTGCTCCAGCGAACTCTGTGATGCTCTCCCGACATCGACATGTAGTAGCGATGAGTGCGAATATTTCTACACGTATGGTGATTATTCCTCTACCCATGGCGTTTTGGCTGCTGAGACCTTCACGTTTGGAGATTCAAGCCAAGACCAGGTTATTAACCACCATCAAACCAAAAAAAATTATAAAGTTTGATAAGTTATGGTTTACTTAACATAGTTGTTTTTAATAAAAATTCTCTAAATTTTGAGAATTTTTTCGTTCTAGTATAAACGATAGGGGGTTACAAGGATCGAGCTGGGTCAGGTTGATGAAATTTTTTGGATCAAATCAAAATTTCGAGTTGGTCGGATTGGTAACCCAAATAATTCGAAATTGTTTCACATCCTAACCCAACCCTATATTTTTAGGTCACCCTATATTTTTAGGTCAGGTTAGATTGGGTTGTCCGGTGGTTGGTGAGAGCGATGGTGAAGGCTGAGGAGCTGCATCTGTGAGAGGTGGCTTGTTTACATTTGACGACGATGGTGAGGATAAGGAGTGTGGCCAACGACGAGGAGCTGTGTCTGAGACCTAACTTTTGTCTAATTTTTGCTATATATATACTTATTTATTATTATTATTATTTTAATTTGGACTAATTTGGTTTGGATGGATAGAACCTTTAACCAATAAACTCGAAACTTAATCCAAACCAGCTTGATTCATGAAAATTAACCTAACTCAACTTTTACGATTTGGGTGGGTGGGTTGGTCGAGTCTTTTGGGTTCAATTTAAACTCCTAATTTCTCCCCTTTGTTTCAATAGCATGTTAAATCACCACTAAACTAAAAAAGTTTAAAATGGTATATAAACTCTATTCGATCTTATATACACGTTCTTAATTCAGGTATCGATCCCTGGACTTGGATTTGGATGTGGAGATGACAACGAAGGAGACGGGTTCAGCCAAGGTGAGGGGCTAGTGGGGCTTGGCCGAGGACCCTTATCGCTAGTTTCTCAACTAAAAGAACAGAAGTTTTCGTATTGTTTAACCGCCATTGATGACACGAAACCAAGCTCACTTTTGTTGGGATCTCTAGCAAATGTGAAACCTAAAGCATCCGATGGTGAAATCAAAACCACCCCATTGATAAGAAACCCATCTCAGCCATCTTTTTACTATCTTTCTCTACAAGGAATCTCGGTTGGTGGCACTCAATTACCAATACCAAAGAACACTTTTGAGCTCCATGATGATGGGAGTGGTGGCGTGATCATAGATTCAGGCACAACAATCACATACATTGAGAAAAATGCTTTCACTTTACTCAAAAAAGAGTTCGTTTCTCAAATGAAACTTCCCGTTGACGACTCGGGTACCAGTGGCCTCGACCTTTGCTTTAACTTGCCACCTAAGACAAATCAGGTACGTTAACCTAACAACTTAAGTTGATGAGGAGTCCCACGTTGGCTAATTTAGGAATGATCATGATTTTATAAGTAAGAAATACATCTCCATTAGTACGAGGCCTTTTGGGGAAACAAAAAGCAAAACAACGAGAGTTATGCTTAAAGTGGACAATATCATACCATTGTATAGTGTCGTGATTTCTAACATAAAATAATGTATTGATGTTTTTGTTTATGTTGTTAACAAAGGTGGAGGTTCCGAAGTTGACGTTCCATTTCAAAGGCGCCGATTTGGAGCTTCCGGGGGAGAACTACATGATCGGCGACTCGAAGGCGGAGTTGATATGTTTGACCATTGGGAGTTCGAACGGAATGTCCATCTTTGGGAATCTTCAGCAACAAAACATCATGGTTGTTCATGATCTTCAAGAAGAAACTGTGTCGTTTTTGCCTACTCAGTGTAGTGATATATGAAAAAGTTGAAGGGAATTTGTTCAATCAAAATGGAGTGAAATGATAGATTTAAGATTGTTTATATTATTAATTCAAGCTATTCAATTTGCAAGTTTATTAAGGGATTTTAGAACTTGTATCGAACAAGTTACATGCATGTTAGTACTATTGAATTGAAGATGTTTTTTTTTTTTTTTTTTTTTTTTTTTTTTTTTTTTTTTTTTTTTTTTTTTTTTTTTTTTTTTNTTTTTTTTTTTTTTTTTTTTTTTTTGATTTAGTTAAGGAACTTTGGTAACAACAGTGATCGGGACTAGGAACCAATGATTGGTGACAGAAGACTAGCGACTAGCGACTATTGTTGAAGTAGTTGCCGTTAATTGGTCTGTTAAGAATGAGAAATAGAAATAGAAATAGAAATGAATGTGTGTTTTCATTCATATTCACAAGGTGTTAAGAATGAGAGATAGAAATAGAAATAGAATTGGGAAGATATTAGGAATACTAAGATCGGTGCTCTGATACCATGTTAAGAAATAGAAATAGAAAATAGAACTGGAAAAGTGTATTATCTTCCATTCAGGTTTACCCCGTTTAAATAGATACAAACTATTAACTCATACCTAAAAATAGAAAAAAAATAATATATCTAACTAAATCTCGTAAATAAATAAAATATACGATTAATCAAATTTATACTAACAACTC